CTCTCCCGAAAATCGTTCCGGCACTTCCACCTTAGGGAGCATGGTGTATCGCCACCGCGACGAAGCGGCCCCTTCCTCAAACCCCTGCCATGATGCACTGCGCTGATACGGTCGATCCGTTCCCATCCTACCGCCGGCGTTCGTGCCACCCTTCTCTGACACCGGCTTCTTCGCCTCGCCTTCCTCTGTCTCACGCGTATTTTCGCGGGCGGTGTCGGAGCCCGTGGCTCCCCCTTGCCTACCGTGCTCGCCTCCCTCCGTGCCGTGCGCACCGACAGCTCCGTGAGCCTCCGCTTCGTTCTTCCCATCACCCTCCATCTCGTCGCTCACCACTATAGGTTCCTTTGCAGCGAAATCTAACCCTGACCTCGTGGGCATGCCTCCTCAGATTGCTTGTATGTGATGAGCTCGTTGCTTCTTCCTTGCTCGCCATATCTCCCCCAGTTCACCACTTGCTCTGTATGCAGCAAAGCACTCGTGTAAAAAGGGAAACATACAAGCAATGGATAGTATGTTCAGGAATCCGCCTATTCTACCAGCAAAGCCACCACCACATTCCGGTCCGGTCATCCCCGCCTATGCTAGCAGCTAAAAACTACTTCACACAGGCGTGCAGCCTTACTGCCTCTTGCCACCCTCCCTTGCCCTGTCTGCTCATCCTCCAGCTGTTGCTCACAGATCCAGCTGGCTCCCCGAACCTATCCTGCACACATAGAGAAAGTAAACACGCATGCATACGAACACCCATCCTCCTCATCCTACGCTGCTGCTTCCTGCGGTCGCTGCCTTGTCTGCCGCTGTTTCTGCAGCCCGCCCCTCCTCGATTACGTAAGTTCCAGCTCCCAATCACCCATGCAACCCTTCGACCCTCAGGCTCGGCAACCGTCGGCTCCCCAAGTCCCTTCTCCGTTCGTGAAATGTCGAATGTCTCTTCGGCTCCCATCCCCATTGAACTCCGCTTTGCTATGTACAATATCTACAGTATATACAGCCCATTCACTTTATAGCCTTACCCTTCACATTCATGCAAATTTGACAACCGCCTCGTCGTTGACGAGCAACTTCACCTGCTTCTGCTCCTCGGCCAACTCCTCTTTAGTCGACAGCTCCCCTGTCAACTGCCATGTCCGCTGCTTCCTTGTCCGCGGCACCTCTGCTGACTCCCCTGTCTACTGCTCCCCTGTCGTCGACGGCTTCCGCAATACCCTCGTCGACAAGCTTGGCGTCATGTCGGCCGCCGGTGATGTCACCAACCGGCGCCATGGGTGACGCCTCAAAGCCCCCCTCATTTCCGGTGGCCGATGACAGTGTCGACACAGGTATATCGTCGACGAAGGGTGGGGAGGTTGGAGTAGTGGGGAGAGGGTTGCACGTCCTCGACGTCCTCATCAACAGTCTCGTCGACCTCGGCGAGCAGCGGAACTGTCGCTGTCGAGGTCTCCGTCGGCGAGTGCACATGCGTCCGCCCCGATGCTAGCCCATACTTCGCCTTCCATACCTCCAGCGACAGCGTTTCGTAGATCACTTCGACCGACATGACCACCTTGTTGTCGGTCAAGTCCAGCACCTCCCAGCCCATGCTATCTATCACTTCGACCGACGTGACACACCGAGGTGAAGTCCCCAACGGGCCTTCGACGCCAGCTTTCCACCATGCAGCCCCACACCCGTGCCAGCATGAGATCAGGCTTCTCTCCAATCAGCATCTGGTACGACGTTGTCCCCAGCGGTGTCATTGAGCGCTCTAAGCAGCTGCACACCTAGACGGCCTGCCGCAGGGCGAGGTGCCACCAATGATGTTGCACGCCCATGTGCATCACCATCGTCCGCACGGACTTGACGAGGGAGCGCATCTCCTGCACCGTCATGCCGTTCTGTTGCGGTGTGTACGGGCAAGTCAGGTCATGGTTAATACCGTTGCTGTTGACAAAGGCGGTGAACTCCTTCCCGAGGAACTCCCCTCCCCCGTCTGAGCGGAGCATCAACACCGACTTCTTCTTCTGTCGCTCCACCAGCAGCAACCGCTTCTCGAACTCCTGCAGCACGTGCTCTTCTTAGTGACCGGCTTCACCCACACGAACCGAGTGTGGCAGTCCTTCAGCAGCAGGAAGTATAGGCTGCCATCCTTGGCAGCTACACTAATGCCCCGCACAGGTCGATGTGCATGATGGTCAGTGCCTCCTTGGCGTCCGAACCCTTGTCCAAGATGGTGTGCCGCGCAAGCTTCCCGCCGACGCACAAAACACATGGCAAGTCATCCCTAGTCGATGGCTTCATGTCGAGTCCGATGGCGACTTCATGCTTTGCTGAACCTTTATCTCGTCGACGCCGACATGCTCGAGCCCTGCTTGCCACCGGTCGGGAGTTGACTTCGTCGCTGAAGCGATCTTCCGCAGAGCCACCACCTCTGTCGACTTCGACAACAACTTCGTCGAGCAGGGGTGGAGGTCAGTGCAGAGGACCCGGTCGGGTGTAGCATGCTCGACCGAGTACCTCGCTTGCACTCGACACGAGCAGCATCCCGTTGCCGTCGTCCTGCAACTTCACACTGTTCTCCTACATCTGACCAGCCGATAGCAGGTTCACTTGCACGCTCGGGACATAGAACACGTCGGAGATGAGGGCCTTTCCCGACCTCCCCTTGACAGAGCGACGGTGCCACGGCCCTCGACGGTCTGCAGCACCCCATTGAAGTTGCGCACATGCTTCACATCGCTGCTCGGCGCCATGTCGACGAAGACCTCCTTCGTCCCCATCCTCCTGCATCTAACGCAGAATGACTCTGCACTCGCGGTCCACCGCATCCTCGCTAAAGAGTAAAATCTGGAGAATGTCCCCTAGCAGATCTACAGCGGCAGGAATGTCCTTCTGCACCACCTTAGCGTAATACGTCGTCATCTCGCGCGAAGTATACGCGTTAAGGCCGTTCGGGTTCGCTTTGCTCGCGACGCGAAGGCCGTTGGATAAGGTCGTGACACGTGTTGCCGGGATAAGCTCAAGGGCCGCGCTGTGATCGACGGTTACGGGGATCAGGGAGTTGTAGCATGCGTATCGGTCCTCGTCCACTATCTGCACGGCTGCGGAGGATGCTTGCGCGGAGAATGCGCAGAACGGTGCGATCGAGCCAGATCTGCGGCCGGACGCAGAACGAGCCGCGCGGGACGCGGCGGCCAGCATCCGGGAAGCCATGGCTGAATCCCAAGGGCTAGTGGCTGTGGACAGGCGTAACGGAGTGAGCGGATGGGGGAAGATGAGGGCGGAGGGGTGAGCGGGTCAAGCGGGACGGACGACACGTCAGCAGCCCTCGCGAAAGGATACCTGAAGCTACTATGGTGCTAGGCTTCCTGGTGGATGCTAGGCGAACGAGCAACTTTATGCGGTGGGGGGAAAGCTTTCCTTCCGCTAGCGCACTTCTTCCCGCTACAGCGCGCACGCTGAGGTCTTACTCCACCCAGCCCCGCCACAGCATTGCGCATACCAGGCCCTCAGATTGGTTTGAGGGTATGCTGATGGATCAGCGTGCCCCGGCCAACGAGGTGTCCAAATCAGCGTTCACGGTTTTTTTTATACTGATTTTCCCAGAGTGAAAATCATAAGTAAACTGAACCAACAGTGGAAATATATATATATATATATATATATTGCTGAAACACCAATGCAAGGTGTGTGGTGTTATTACTGTGATAGGTTCCAGCGAGGATGAACACTTCGGAGCGCACATGATATCTGCGCAGCGCATGCGAAAAAATTCCAAGTGTGTGGGTGGGATTTCGTGAATCACAGAAAGGTACAGTCAGCACACGCGTACCCTACCCCCCCCCCCCCCCCCCCCCCCCCCCCCCCCCCCCCCCCCCCCCACACCACGCGGTCAAGTCCGTTTCAGTGTGACTCACTGAAGTATACTGATTCGTCAGTGTTACTTGTACAGCAACACGCAAAATGGTCAGTGTGGCAAAATAGGTTATACTGAAATTTCAGTGCAAAATTGAAGCATATGCTGAATTTTCAGGGAAAACGAAAATCTGAGCTACAAAATCAGCGTAATCAGCGTGTTTTACGCTGATATCTGAGGGCCTGGCGCAGATATTGAGAACTCCATGCGGGGTCAAATAGCGAAGGTACACTGGAGTGCACCAAAAGTCATCGTAAAAAAGCTGCTTAAGTACAAAACGCTTACCGTATTCTCCCTGACAAAACACCCCCCCATGATAGAGCACCCCCGGGTAGCTTGGGCGGTGTGGGTGCTATTGGCGACCTCGTTTCCACTATACCCCCCTTTTTGGCTGATTTTCTATAACACCCTCCTTTTCTTACGGATTCGTTGTTATAGTCATTAACGAGTAGCTGCAATACGGAAGAATATCGCGTGAATGTTTTCCTCGATGAAATTTCGCGGTATTTCACCTGCAATCTGCCGAGATTCCCCCCCCACTATTTCGCCCTGCCACGTGCTGGTGAATCTTCCGTTGCAAGTGGCCAGATATGTGCCACATGGCGTTTTCGTGGGGGTGATAAAGTTCGCGACCGAAACTAACATTCGCGCCTCAGACAGTGATGTTAAAACGACCAACAAAACACCCACATTGTCTAATTTAACAAACATTAACAGTAAAATATGCCATCTATAAGGACCCGGATATTATGAGTTTTTTCCTATGAGAAGACACCCCCCTTTTTTTTCCTGTATTTTTACAAATACCCTAGGGTGTTATGTCCGAGAGAATACGGTAGAATTAATACATCTTGCAGAACAAAGGCTGATTTTCCAGCATTCTTTTGTAGAGAAACAGGAAGAGGATGTAAAATGACATTTTAATCCGACATTCAGCGTATTTTTTCGTAGCAACTCTGATTTTCCAGGCTAGCCCAAAACCAACATGAGTACGATGCATTTTTTACAATGCTACAAGATCCCCATCTTTACAATGCAAATTCAATAAGACCCTAGGGTCCTATATCCGGGAGATTACGATGGTTTTCCACTGGTGTAACAGAGTTGATCATGCGATCATGCCAATGAGATCAATTTCTTCATCCAGAGTTTTGAGGTTCCGGAACACACTCAGCCGCTCCACAACCTCCTCATCCACCTTCACCGCCGCACTCACCTCCTCCTTCCCTGCCACTTCGTTTCTAATCGCCTGCAGCTCATTGGCAATGTCCCCCATGGTTGGCCGGCTTGCCGTGCGACCCACCGTGCAACTCACTGCGAGCTGAGTCAGCCGCAACAACACCTCCTCCGAAACATCCACACAGGGGTTTTTCAGGCAAGAAAGATCAGAACCCTTAGCTAGACAATCTTCCACCTGGGCGAGTGCGACAGGTTGGAAACGGGACCGCGAGGGGAGCGGTTGGGGAGAGAAACACATATGTTAGGGGGTTGACGAGTGACCCATCCTCAAGTAAGGCAAGGCATGAGAGTCTGAGGTCATTGAGATTCCATGTAAATTTATTCAAGGTGAAAGTTAAAAGCATTTATGGCAGTGGCGGTAGGGGTGGTGGTGGTGGTGAAGGTGGTGGTATCGATGGTCGTGGTGGACAGTGGCGGCGGAGGCGGCTGTGGTGGTGATGGTGATGGTGGTGCTTACCCAATGTAGGATGTGCGTCCTCTCCCCCCCAGCCTCAGCAATTGGAGAACGTCCGGTAAGCACCACGAGTATGAGCACTCCAAAGCTGCAGAGAGGTAGACGGAGAGATGTTGAGATCATGTTGGCAGCGAGACTTGAATTGTGTTGAAACGATCATTATGCCATATTTGAGAAGAGGAAACCACATACACATAACATATACACCAACCACCTTGATCTTATATAAGTAGCTACAATAGTAACATGCAAATGCAAATGCTTAAACCAGAGGGGCTAGCAGCACTCCAAAACAAAACATGGGCACAGAATAACCAGCTGACCTTTTGCAAACCTACCTGAAACAGCAGTGTGTCCCTCGATCTCGAATACCTGTAAACATCAGTGGCCGTGGTTGCCTTATTTGTCCTTGAGTAAACAGGGTCCACATAGCCCGGTGTTCCCATCACTCGAGTAGAGCCCACTGTCGTGCCCTCTCCCATCCTCACCAATCCAAAGTCCGCAATCTTTGCCTGGGTATGAGGAGTTTGTTATAACAAGGTTGAAAGATGACAAAGATTTAACAAGTTGTTGATTTGGGTGAAAGGGGTATATCATTCTACAGTGCATGTGCCATAGGGAGTTGTTTGATTGTGGATTTAAACCATAAAGAAGAAGTATGAACGTGTATTTCACAATGGTAAACACAAATCACATGATGATTCTACCCAATTTTCATGAAAAAATATAACATACAGAAGTGTTCAAATATATATGTGGTATCACAGGACAGGGACCTAGGCAGCTGACAGTTGCCTGTTTGCATTGACTAAAAGATGACTCAATACCCACCGTTGAAAAGCTGTTCGGAGCTTACGTGCATGTCTGCACGTTTAAATGGATGGTGATGTAGTGTAATGGACGGGTTTGACGCTCAGTAATGGATGTAATGTAATGGTTTGACACAGCTTGCCTGCATGTCGGCGCTGACGAGGATGTTGGCAGGTTTGATGTCGCGATGCACGAAGTCAAAGCTGTGGAGATACTCCAAGCCACGCGCCGCCCCAATCAGGATGCCCAGCCACTGTGGCAGGGTCAGTGAGAATGGTGCCTCTGCAGGAGGAAGGCAGCATATAGCAGGTAGGAGTGAGCATTAGTCACATGGCATTAGGCACATGGCATTAGGCACATGGCATTACACACACGGTTATGGAATGTCTAACACCAGCACGAGGGGCATCGAAAGTAGACTCACTTGTTGAATTCAGCCACTTCTCAAGGTCACCGTTGGGCTCAAACTCGTAGATGAGAACCTGCTCTGGCCGCGTCCTCATGTCACCCCCCACAGCAAACCCAAGCAGCCGTACGATGTTGGGATGGTTCTTGTCCGCCATTTGCTGGACCTGAGGAGCGTGAAATAAGAAGAGAACCGACAAGATCCATCATGCATAATGCATTCACCAAGCAGCCTCACGATGTTGGGATGGTTCTTGTCCGCCATTTGCTGGACCTGGGGGGTTTGTCGAAGAGCATACACCATAGAAGAATAAACGGTATAACGTAGGAATGATAACAGATAGACAAGCATGCAGCAACACAAACGCTGATAAGGGTTCGAGAAGCAGAATTCCCAATTGAGACAAAAACATAACACAACGGGTTGTGGTACAAATGTGGACATAGGAACTCACCGAGGCACTTGTTGTGTTACGCTTTATCTCAATCAGGAATTCTCCGTTGTGAAATTGGTTTTCAACAAGTCACTCACCTCCCGTTGGAAGTCAACATGTAACAGCTTGGCGCGTTTCACAGCCCACTCAGTTACACCATCGAGTGGAGACACCCCCTTGAACACATCGCCAAAGGCGCCCGACCCAAGCTGGTTGGCTGCAGCCCAGTTGTTGGTGGCCGCTTCAACCTCAGCAAGAGAAAACTCTGTGCTGTGTAAGGCTGCCCAACTGCCAGCCATTGATGCTAGTGGGATGTCTGGTGTGGGCGAGTCGTGAGGGTGAGCGGGGGAAGTGAGGGTGAGAGGTGAGGGGTGAGGGTGAGGAGTGAGGGTGAGGGGTGAGGGTGAGCGGTGGGGAGCGAGGGTGAGATGTGAGAGGTGAGGGGTTGAGCAGTGAGGGGTCAATAGTCGTCAATAGGCACACAGAAGATGCGATGAAAGCTCGCACGGCGCTTGTCACCTTGGTTACCAGCGAACAAAAGCCGGCTACGAAAAGCATCATCTTCCTTGCCATCTGTTGATTAATGGACCAACTCAAAACCTTTTCATCATTTGACTAAGTGCCTACCACAGCACTCCCACCTGTTGCCTTCTGCTGCCGCTTGTGCCTGAGGTAACGCAACACAGCAGCCGCAGCAGCAGCAGCAGCACCACCACCACCAGCAACAACAATGCCAATGATGCCCCCCAGTGATAACCCACTGGCCCCTCCAGAAGTTGCTGAGTCGTACTGGCTGATGCTGCTGCTGTTGGGGCTCGGTGCTGGTGGTGCCGCTGGGGTGGGGTATGGGGTGGCAGTTGGTTGCAGGCACTCCAGAGAGACAAGCTTAGAAACTTCAAACGAGGTCAGGCTATCGGAAAAGGTTTGGGACGACAGTTGCAGCAAGCTCAGGAATGTCATGTGATTATTGAACTCATGCAACAAAGAAAACTGGCAATGGAAGAAGAAAAGTGCGCCAAGTACTCTATTTGCTACTTTGTTTGACATCTCCACAACTTTGCTACGAGAAACAGAGTTAGGCATGAGCTAATAGATGAGCCCTTGTTCGATTTGTCCTGAACATGTTCAAGTTTTGATGTGTTCGTCAAAATATTATACTTGAACAGTTAGTAACTGTTTGAGTCAAACATGTTTGGTTCAAACAGAACGTATTTGACTCAACAAAATGTTAAAGATGAACAAACAGGTGTTCATCGCATTCCCGCTAAATCAGGTTGCGCGAGTCAGGGTTTTGTTAATCAAGTTTGAGTTTCTCAGCTCGTTTTTAAACTCAAGAGTCTTTCCTAGCCTAATCCTACCACCCCCCTAGCATGTGGGACCATTTCCACGGTATTGGTCTTGTAAACGTGACATATAAGGGGAAACGGTAGACCGTTTCCCCAAGTTGGTCTTGCAAACGGTGTAAGACATATAATTTCCGGAAAACGCTAGAGCCGCCCTGCCTCCTAGCATCTTAGCAGATTCGATGTCGGGTCCAGTTTTTCACAATGAAACATAATCCCTCCTGTAGACAAACTACCTTCAGTTTTCCTACGGTAGGTTAAAGATAGAACAAAAACATTATGGCATTGGAGTTGAAGTTAGCTCTCCTGAAAATCATTCAGCGAAGTGAGACAGGCTTGCATGAGGCTCTGGAGTTTGGTATGCATACTTGGAGTTGCTCTGAGAAAGTACCACTATCATCCACCAGCCGGGCACAACTTTCTTTGCTGCTGTGTGCCTTTTCTTCTTGATGCACTTTCTGCTGGTCAGCGGTGCACTGCACTGCACTCACCTGTTAACTCCAGGCAGGTGGTGCAGAAGGAAGGGCACTTGCGGCAGAAAGCAGTCTCAGCAATCTGCTGTTGGACACAGCTGGTGTAGTCGACCGGACATGTGAGGCTGGTGCCCCAGGTGGTGCTGCCGTGGAAGGGGATGTGTAAATGGCGGCAAGAGGTGATTCTACTGGGAGGTAAAGAGAATGAGAGGGATTCAAAATCAGAAACATATTCGTTGTTGCACATATTCGGTATTTGCTGCACGCACTGCACGTACATGTTCGTTTTTTGCTGCACACACTGCACGCACATATTTGTTATTTGCTGCCCGCACTGCACGCACATATTCGTATTTGCTGCACGCACACATTCGTTATTTGCTGCACGCACATATTCGTTATTTGCTGCACGCACATATTCGTTATTTGCTGCACGCACTGCACGCCCATATTCATTATTTGCTGCACGCACATATTCGTTATTTGCTGCACGCACTGCACGCCCATATTCGTTATTTGCTGCACGCACATATTCGTTATTTGCTGCACGCACTGCACGCCCATATTCGTTATTTTCTGCACGCACATATTCGTTATTTGCTGCACGCACATATTCGTTTTTTGCTGCACGCGCATATTCGTTATTTGCTGCACGCACATATTCGTTATTTGCTGCACGCACATATTCGTTATTTGCTGCACGCACATATTCGTTATTTGCTGCACGCACATATTCGTTATTTGCTGCACGCTCATATTCGTTATTTGCTGCACGCACATATTCGTTATTTGTCGATGCTGAAGATGGCAAGGATCATGCGACCGCAATCGCATGGTCACTTTTGTGTGTTAGGTAAGAGAATGCATTTGAGGCTGCCAGAGTGAGAAATTGTTATTGGACAGGATACCAGTCGTTCTACAGCTCGGCTTGATTTTGTCTACATTTCCGTCTGTAACTCTGTCCTTCACATGTTTCTTGACATGTTTTCTCCTACCGAAAGTAAGATTAATTTCAAAATTGTACACGCATACTTTCACATGTTTCCCCGCTCCTGCCAAAAGGCAATTATTGCCACAGGCCTTGAGACGTCTTAAAACGTGTCTCTATGCAACTCCGAAGATGAGCAGAAAAGCTGACCAATCAAATGTCTCAGGCAGCTCTACCTTTCAGCTCTGTCCCTCACACCAAGCCACACGCCCCAAATGCACAGCTGAGTTTGTATGCAGCGAATTGAATCCACTGTCAGCATTATTTCAAGACGGAGGTTGTCTTCCACATTCCAATCCAAGAATTGGTCTAAATTGATAGATGGACTTTGTCCCCAGACACACTTCCACACTTCAAGCACACAACAAACAAGTTGAATCTTACAAAGTCTGCAGATCAAAAAGGTTTCCAATGGATGGTGGGATGGCCCCCGAGAAATCGTTGTTGAAGAGGTTCCTGAATTTACACCAGCAACCACAACACCAGGAGGAGTGAATCTGGACACAAACAACATGAAAGAAGAATCCTTCTAAAGATGCGCGCGCATGATGCAAAGTCTGGATCGAATAGACTCTCTGAACGACTCTGACCTCAAGTGCAGTTGCAGGTCCCAACCCAAGCGCACAACAGACACGACACGCCATGTTTGCAGCTTACAACTCTTCCAGGTATAGAAGGCTGTCGCCGATGGATGTTGGAATGGGCCCTGAGAGATTGTTGTCGTGGAGATGCCTGAATTCATGTAGGCATACGCAACACCAGAAGGAATAAGCAACACCAGAAGGAATAAGCAACGCCAGAAGGAATAAGCAACGCCAGAAGGAATAAGCAACGCCAGAAGGAATAAGCAACACCAGAAGGAATAAGCAACACCAGAAGGAATAAGCAACACCAGAAGGAATAAGCAACACCAGAAGGAATAAGCAACACCTGCAGAAGGTGCAGAAGGAATCAAGAATCCAACACTTTTCTACGACCATTGGGTTGGAATTGGATGCTGCGCCACCTTATTGGTTCTTGATAATGACCACATTATTGGGGGAGCCCAAATGTTGGATGGACCAGATGTTTGATCTCTCAACAATCATTCATCTCCCTATTGGGACGCAAATTATCCAATCCACCATGCTGACAAGCGATTTATGAGGCGAGTCATTATAGACCGGTAGGTTTGCCTCACTAGGTCATCATAGACTGGTAACTATCCTTTAAACTTTACTCTTATGGAGGCAAAAATTACTCGGCCTTGTCAACAACGCCCTAACCACTGCTTCCACCCCCAACGCACACGTGTAAGCACGCACGCATGTGCACACGCGCGTGCACACGCACACAGACACGTACTCGTGTTTGGTTCTGCCTGAATCAAATTGAATCGGTCGAGGTTTGAGTTTAACCCTGGTACTCAATATTTTTTTATTCGAATTAAACTCACTGGTTCTGCCCAAACACGTTCGAGTTCGGTTCAAACTCTGAAGACAAATTCAGCCATTTTAGCTATGCCATGACATACGGAAGTGTAATTACGCTCAGGGGCTGCAAAATGTGAGGGAATTTTGAATATTCGCTCAATTTTGTTAGCGCAATTTGTTGGCTTGGGTAGATGATAAGGGGTGAGATACGGTTGAAGGGAGTTGGTGGGGTTGTTGCGAATTTTGGCAAGAAATTTGTTGACTTGAAATGCATCGCGATGTTTCGCCTCCAATCAGCAAAGCGCGAACTGATTCGAGTTTGCCTGATTTTAACACACAATTTTGGGACTCATCAAATCGACCCTCAGAGACCCTTCTCCGCATCAAACTATTACAATTCACAGAACCCAATCCTTTGACTCATTCTTCAGATTCAGAGCCAAAATCACCACGCGATTTGATTGGCGTTCTTTTGACCATCCAAGGATTACCCGAGTGCGTGGAAACAGATGAAAACGTCACGGGGAATCGTCTGGCATGTATGCAAACTGTGTTTTTACCATATCGTATAAAACACAAATGTGCTCTCAGTTACCTAGTCTAAAGTTGAACCCATGCAGGAATGCTAGTAGTAAACCAAGTCGAGAAGTTACGTGTCGAACCTTTGATGAAAATCAGAATCGCGTCGTAGTGACCGGAAATTGACCATACCTCAGCTCCCTTCAGTCCAGCCAACTGAACGGTTTGACCCGAACGTCAAACCGTTCGAGTCGACTTTTACTGTTTTTTTTGTTTCGTTTTTGTTTTTTTTACACACTCATACCTCATCTAATGGATGGTGATGCCCCATATACTGACAGTTTTAACAAGTGGCGCATGTTGCCAACGGTGGATGGAATTGTCCCACTCAGTGAATTCATGCTCAAGTTTCTGACAATTCGAGATGAGGGGGCACATAGAGGACAGATGGAATAAGGTGGGAGAAGGGGAGGGAAAGATGGGTGGAACGAAGATGCAGCATGTTGACGTGTGGTCGCCTCATTCGGCCTCCCTCTGGCAAAAACCAGGGTCGGGCAGGGTCGACCCGACCCAGCCGGGTCCAATCCAATGTTCATGCGTACACACACACACTCAAAGATTGTGACCAAAACATTGGCTAAGGGTAGAACTGAACCAGACTCAGTTCAATTCAAACTGCCTTCGGTTCCAGATGAGCAAGACCAGAACCGACTCTGGCTCGGGGCTTGCTTCACTAAAGGGGAATCGGATAAGACAAGGGGTAAGCCATAGAGCCATGAATCAGCCAACACATTAGCACATAATCTTCTACTCACAGATAAGTTAGCTTAGCCAGGGACATTAAGGAATCGGGGATGCTCCCTGCGAGGTTATTTACATTGAAACCACTGAACCAGGGAATGGGCAGGTGAATGTGCGGATGAGCAAGCAGACATGTGGTGATGCAAGAACAGAGAATTCGAGGCAGGGCAAACAAAACATAAGGAACTGGGGGGCTAGAAGGGGATGAGGAGGGGATAGGATTGGAGAGAAGATGATAGGGCTGGAGAGGAGAGGCGAGGAGAGGAAAGGAGAGAAAATGAGAGGATAGGGGCAGAAAGGAGAGGAAAAAGAGTAGCACAGGTGCAGCCTTCGCGAGAGAAGAACAGAACAAAAAGGGATAGAGGGACGACGAAGGGGAGACAGCCTAATAAAATCAATCAGGTCAGGCGTCGACTTTGCCTGTCAGCCATGAACTTGCTCCGCTCTGCACGGATTGGCGACCAAACTCAACGATACGCGCTGATCGGCAGTCGAAGTGCGCTGATCTGCACCGATCAGCCACAAAAAAACGCCGATTTTTGTGGACTGGCGATTGAAATTGCCAATCTGCACGAATCAGCGGGGGCAAATGCTGACCGGCCAGACACTACTAAGTTAGGTTTTGGCGGGTCGCAGCTGTGTCAGCTACCCCAGGGTCCCGGCCCAACCCAACCTGTACCCAGCCCGGCCAGTACACACTTCGCGAGCAAACCCAGATTGGGTTGAGACGGGGCGACCCAATGCTCATGTCTGCATCAGAAGCAGACTAGAAATTTTAACTATATGCAATTCTGAAGACTGAAATTACCAAAGCACGCAAGGTGCTTTTATCACTTCCAAGAATACATAAAAGTGGTACCACAGGTGCTTACAAGGGGTTGAGGAAAAAGGAAGGGCTTACACGGCCTCCAGATTTGTCAGAGAGCCAAGGTTAGATGGGATGGAGCCGGTGAGGTCATTGGTGTACAAATAGCTGTGGTTGTTGTGGATGGGAAAATAAGGTGAAAAGGGTTGGTCGATAGAAACCCTCTCAAAATATGATCCTAAGGGTAAAGCTAGACATGGGCAAACACTCAAACTCCCATTCGATTCGTCTTGAACATTTTAAAGCCTGTGGCCCAAATTGCGAATTATGCAGGTCAACCTTACTAAGGTCGAATTGTTGTGATTCGCACGGTTTTTTTTGTTAGAATCTCTGGTTATGCAAGTTGCGAAGGATTTGATTGGCCAGGATTTTGTAAATGATGTTTAGGAACAGTGTCCACATTTCAAAGCTACACAGGGCGACCTCTAAGGTTTGCTGACTGAGCAAAAAAAAAAAAACGAGTGTCGCGACAGGTTCGATCAAGAAGCCATCACGCGCAACTCCTTGCTCAGCTTTGACTTTCCTCAAATTTGGGACGAGAACTTTAACGTTCGAGTCAAGCAGTTTGGTTCAGTTCGACTCTTTCTCATCGAGCCACGTTGAACCAAACATGTTTGACTCGTCAAAGGCTTTGGGTCAAGCATAATTGATGTTTGACGTGATAACTGCGCGAGCCGGGTTGGGTTTTTAAGTTGCGCGTCAACCCAAGCATGTTTGACTCGATGGAAGAAGGAGAAGAAAAAAAAAACTGTAAACTCCAACGCCAGCATTGTCCATCTCCTTATGTGAACATTAGAGGACAAAATGTTTGCAACGAGAGGCTCATCTCCTTGTGCAAAAAAATGATTAGTGGCATCTCCAATGTCGTCTCTGGAGCCACCTTCTACAGCTACTGTCGTGATTCCTCTCCTTCTGACCTTCCTGTATGCTTTCTACTTAGTCGATCTCTGCCCCCCCAGCGCCTATGGTCTTCTCACTCTGTTGCCTCCTTCATATACCCATAGCATTCTCAATTCGTGTGCTTGCTCCTCACCTGAGCTAATAAATATGTTTGAAGACGTCCTAAAAAAACAAATGTTCTCTGTCGGTGCGCATGCATGCTGCTTACATGTACCCTAGTTTCTGGAGCTCACTGAAGCTAGCAGGGATGCTGCCTGAAAGCTGGTTGCGGGAGAGGTCTCTGAAAGGAAGCATCAGGCACATATTGCAACAGAAAGTCAAGGCCATTATAGCACAGCATTTGAGCTTTAAGAAAAGAGGAACTTAAGAGAAAAGGAGGTGGGAAGGGAAAGGATGAGCAGTAGACTTCAACAAAAGCGATAAGGTCCGTATTCTCTAACAGCATTGTTGACAGTCAAGGGAGAAAAAGGACATGAAATAGCAAGAAAGGGAGCAGGAAGTTGACAGTAAGAAAGGCAGATGTCAGTTAGAATGGCAGTAACACTGACAAGCACGGGTGAGGGAATATCACTGGAATACCCTCAAGGAAAGGAACTCAACTCCGTGGAGTAGTAATGCTAATGCTAATACACTTACAGTAATGTTAAGTCTGACATCGAGCCAATGCTAGCAGGTATGGAGCCGGTGAGCTGATTGGCGAAGAGGTGGCTGTGATTTAGACAAAAAACATGAAGACAGGAAGGGAAGAGAGGGGGCCATGCCCCAGGTTCGAGACATCTCAAAAACATGAAGACAGGAGGGGGAGAGAGGGGGCCAGGCCCCAGTTTTCGAGACATCTCAAAAATATATGAGACGAGGGAAGGGAAGGGTTGGGCTTACACTTGCAAAGTTTTCTTCAGGGAGCCAATCTGAGCAGGGATGGAGCCGGTGAGCGAGTTGTTGTAGAGTGCCCTGAATGGAGAAAGACAAAGAGATGAATGGAATGCTTGCTCCAAGAGGCCGTGGCAACAGTGTGGAGCGCCATGTGAGTGAGTAGACATTTCACCACGTGGGTAGACATATTACCACGTGGGTAGACATTTCACCACGTGGGTAGACATATTACCACGTGGGTAGACATTTCACCACATGGGTAGACATATTACCACGTGGGTAGACATTTCACCACATGGGTAGACATATTACCACGTGGATAGACATATTACCACGTGGGTAGACATATTACCACATGGGTAGACATATTACCACATGGTCAAGGATACAATTACATGGACAAACATATTAATGTATAGATTCATTTAAGCCAAGAATCACCGTGAGAAAAACAGGTGACTAAGGGAATTGAAGAGAACGAGGCAGGAAATTTCATGGGAAACTAACATATACGTTGTTTCAATCAATCAGAGAATCGATTTGTTTGGCACCTATTATCATCATGAAAAGCAAAGAAGGTTGACCTTTGCTTGTGTGCTGCTCCTTACATATAAGTTAAGCGAGTAAGAGCACCGATGCTAGAGGGAATGATGCCTGTGAGCTCAGACTGCGCCCTATTGCTGCAAGGAACATACGCAAGGACAAAGGACACTGACAGGGTTGACGACGGTAAGCATAGATAGAGCAAAAAGAGGAGCACAAGGGGTGGTGAGGAGTGTGAGAGATACGAGAATGTTAGAGTAGGAAGGGTGGTGCAGGATGGTGGAAGGTGGCACAGGGCGGTGGAGGGTGGTGCAGGGTGGTGGTGGCTGGTGCAGGGTGAGGACTCATAAGTGAAAGAGGAGCAGGGTGAGTGAAAGAAGGTGAGGTGGGAACAGAGTATGAGGTGGGAGAAAGAGGTTGTGGTGGATGGGAATTCATAGAGGAGGTAGGAGAGGATGGGACGATTGTTGCTGGAGACAGATCTACTCCCCAACCAACCACCTGTGCCCCAACCACCTGTCCCCCAACCACCCCTCACCCAACCACCCGTCCCCCAACCACCCATCTCCGAACCACCCATCCCCCAACCACCCGTCTCCAAACCACCCATCTCAAAACCACCCATCCCCCAACTACCCGCCTCCGAACCACCCATCCCCAAACCACCCATCTCCCAACCACCCTCCTCCCAACCACCCTTCTCCCAACCCAACCACCCTTCTCCCAACCCAACCACTCTTCTCCCAAGCACTCAGCTCACATCTCAGTTATCATGCCGTCCACATCGCACTTGAGGCCGTACACATGGTCGCAGTCGGATGGGGGGTCGCTCCACCAACTTTTGGTGTCATTCAAAAATTTCACTGCGGGTTGCCGAGTGGAGGGAAGCCGGCGGGTTGCCAGGGGAAGAAAGGTGGCGGCTAAGTTGAAATATTCGCTAAAGTTGGATTGCGTTTTGAGTATGTACGCACCAAAAATGCGTACGCTGCGTTTTTGCTGTAAGAACGCAAAAACAAAACGCACGGGTAGACTGGAAAAAAAAAAAAAAACCAAAGACGAGTTTGGTTTCGCGACTCTCCGAAATCGAATTACGTGCTTGCCAACTTCAATTTTGAGATTTTGAGCTGAGTCGCGCCAACTCAGCTTTTTCACCCCTGCACAACCCACTCCACCGCATTCACTTCCAACCAACCCCTTCCGACCCGATGTTGTGCTGAAGTCCATCACCCAACCACTTCTGTCCAGGCCTAAGGAGAGGCGTTCCTCACCTCGACAATCATTCTTCTCTCTGGTTGTCGGTTTCTCTGGCTATTTTTTCAGAATGTCTTCTGTCTCATATCATATATACTCTCTGAAATTAATGCTATCGTGTAGTACGTGAAATGCGTATTCTCCAACTTAGCGTGGCGGGTTGCGAGGGGAAGGGAGCTGGTTGCGAGGGGAAGGGGGGGGAGAGAGGGGTTGGGAGGGGGAAGGGGACGGGTTGGGGGGTTTACAGTCAGGTCTGGGTGGGTGGGCCGTTCCAGGTGGGGACCTCCAGGTTTCACGCGGTCTAAGAGTCGTTCCGAAAATGCACTACGTGTTGGGGGGGAGGGGGAAGTGAAGGTGGCGTGTTGGGGGGAAGTGAAGGTGGCATGTTGCAGGGAAGTGAAGGTGGCGTGCTGGGGGGAAGTGAAGGTGGCGTGTTGGGGGGAAGTGAAGGTGGCATATTGCGGGTTCCACTCCTTTCTAGCAGTGGCGCCATCTCAGATTGCACTATCTAGCACATCGTATCACGAGGTTTGACCGGCACGTGTCCGGCTGTTCAGGCAGATGAGCGACCCTACCGCACGCACCTTGCGAGGGATTGAACGGGACGGCGCTGGTTGTCACGAGGTTCGCGAGCAGGCCCAAGGCGACCCACCCTGCGAGCCATGCGAGTGGCGTCAGCAGCGACCCACTCGCGTGCTGCGCTGGCGAGTGGGAGCAGCACGCAGCAACACCTCCAAAGGAGCGCATCCTCTTTGGAGCGATCATGTCCGTCGATAGCCGATAGGTGCTCCGAGTGAGACTGATTGAGCGGGGGAATGAGCGTGAGGGTGAGAATGGGAGAGAGTCAGTGCGAATGAGTGAGAACGAGAATGAGTGAGACTGGGAATGAGTGATTATGAGTAAGACTGAGATTGGGACTAAGTGGGTGAGTGAGAGGGAGAGTGACTGTGAGCGAGTACGAGTGAGAATGAGTTCCAAAATCCTTAGTGACCCATCGGTAGAGCCAGCCCCTGCCTTTACTGCAAGCAAACAAAGACGGTGCCCACCCACTTAGGGCACTTCACCTGCCTCCGTCCCACCCTCTCTCTCTCCTCCCTCCTGCTGGGCATCCAAGCCCCCTATGCCACAGAGACCCCTCTGCACGTACTCATGCGTGAGAGTGAACAGCTCCCGCCTGAAGCCGCGCATACTCTGTTGCGGTCGAGCAGCAGGTTGTTTCTGATTCCAACAGGGTATGGCACCGCCTCTTACCTACTACCTCAAAGGGGGCCGGGTGGAGTCCCGGCCAAGCCAACGCCCTCCACGCCAAAGCGAATAGAGTAGTGGTGAAACCAAGCCGCCTCCTAACCTCAGCCAAGATGCCGGCTGATCCTTGGCCCACGGGCCATAGCCTTGAGAGATCTCCTCTCCGGACCGGAGGCCTAAGCCACCACATGCATCCTGCCGCACCCTGCCTCACCCTGCCGCACCGCACCCTGCCTCACCCTGCCGCACCGCACCCTGCCTCACCCTGCCGCACCGCACCCTGCCTCACCCTGCCGCACCGCACCCTGCCTCACCCTGCCGCACCGCACCCTGCCTCACCCTGCCGCACTGCACCCTGCCTCACCCTGCCGCACCGCACCCTGCCTCACCCTGCCGCACCGCACCCTGCCTCACCCTGCCGCACCGCACCCTGCCTCACCCTGCCGCACCGCACCCTGCCTCACCCTGCCGCACCGCACCCTGCCTCACCCTGCCTCACCCTGCCTCACCCTGCCTGCCTCACCCAACTGCCGACAGCATCCGTACCACCGCTCTGCTGGTAACGGCACAGCCTCATCATACGGTCCAGGCGGCCCTCCCCACGCCTAGCCCCACGGCCTGACCACCCACCCTCGAGCGACACTCTCGCTCCCACAGAAACCTCCATCCAGGCGCTCATCGAGGGGGAAACCTAAGGCGTACCTGCTGGGGACCCAAGAAGTTTGCCTACACAGCAGCAGGAGCCGTACAGCCGCTTGTGCCTAGCTGAGCAGTCCTGCACGCCGCAGCTGATCACTAGCGATATTACTCACCACGTGGCGCGTAGTTGCATAGATGTAACCCGTGCTGCCTCACCTGTCTGGCAGTAGCTTTGCCTCCTTAGCTACCCACTATTGCTGTAGCAATGGAAAGGACCATCACAGAGAGACTGGAACTGACACAGAGTGAGAAAGTGAGGCTGAGACGAGACTGAGAGACTGACAAGCAGCGAGGGATGGCGCCGCTTCTCTGATGTCAAGCTGCCAGGCGGAGACGGTCCAATTGCCGGCGGAGCTTTCAACAGCCTTCGTGGCTTTCAAGCGGGAACTTCAGGCAGAACGAATGGGCCGCTGCCGGACTTAACGCCGCTGGCAGTCTGTGCGGACTGAGACGTGCGAAAATCACTACGACTAGAGAGCTGCTAATAGTACAGAGTGCGCTAAGAAACTCTAGAGCTGAATTTGTGGCGTTGAATCAAGTTTAGGTTTTGAGTTTCTAGGTTTGTGATACAGCGGGTTCTCTCGTGCTATTGCGGAGTGAGCTCAGCTCTCGATAAAAGCGCGCGTATTCAGACAGTCTACCATTTCGGACCATCTACCCATTTCGGGCCGTCTACCCATGATTTCGGACCTCATATTAGAAGCGCGCCAGACTCGGAGCTCAAGTCGACAAATCTCAGTAGCCGGTGCAGCGGCCGCATTCGATCACCACACCATCATCGGGTTGATGCGATATATTGCAATGCATCCCCCTAGCAAACCTATATCCGCGCTCAGCGCTCAGCAACGGGCGCAGCATGCGGAGGCGCACTCGTGTTCATTGGGAGAATTCCCCCGTGCTGCTGTGGTTTCCCCACTGCTGCGCTTTCGTGTCCCGCACGCGCAATCGCTTCCCCATTGGGCCCAATGCATATCCTGTCGCTTTCCTGTCCCCAGTTACGAGTAACATGATGGTCCGACAAATGAATCACCATGACCCCCAGCGCTACTACAACTCCATGGACATCATCCCAAACGGACACCATGACGTCCCTTGCGCGACACTCTCAACGAAAGGGATGACGACTTTTTCCACCCTCAGCGAGCACTAGTCGACATCAAGCCGAGGCGGAAACCCACTTATTACAGCTGCCTAGTGAACTCAGAAAATTCGGAAATAACTGTTCCTCTACAGGCTGGGGCTGACTTGCAAGGAAAGGGGCCACCACAGCGTCAGCTGCGTATGGGCACAGCCGACTCTATATAGTGTTCTACTAACGAACCCCCACAATTGAACTGAATAAGGTCTGCTGAAGCCAGCGGTGTGTGTAAGTCACACCTAACTAATGGATTTAAAATATGTCAGACTTAAGCATGTTTCGGCATAATCAATACAGATCAACTTGGTTAAATTCAACATGTCAACATCTGTGTTCAGTACCATCACACTTATTGGCTCCCCATTGGCGCATACCGTATATGGAGTCGACCATACACATACGTTGCACTTTTTATAAACACAAACATTGAAAGTTGTTACGAATAGTGAAATGCTATTGTACACTCCTAACCACAGCTAAGCGAAGCACAAGGTAACGAGGATGAATGCGAGGAGGCAGAGTTAACTCGAAGCGGCGCATACGGTTGGAATGGATCTGGACCGTCGGAGCAGACGGCATCAGGCATTCGCAAGCTGGAGGGAATTGGCGGGAACAGTTTCGTAACTGTTCGAGTCGTACGAGTGGTTTGGATTCCAAAAAAGGGAAGGTACCCCTTAGAGTACACGGCTAGCAAGGTCGTCTCGTATTCCCCCCTGTACTCATATTTATATTCTCTGTACTTGCATGTTTTAAACATCTCAAGCATTTTACATGCACTCTGCTATTGAGGTCAAGGGCCCACTGTCAAAACTGATTTATATGTTGTAGGCTGTAGTGGGGTAGCCCATATAGAGTACAACCCCTAGTTAGGGTTTACTACTTGTATCTCACGTTCATTAATTCCTGCTCTTAGTTCATGCATGGTTTTGGAGCAGTAGGTCCGTAGGACCTTTTTAGGTTGCGAAGCAACCCTTTACGATCGATTTTGCCAAATTTTATTTTCATGTTTATATTTTTTGTTAAAACATGAAAATAAAATTTGCAAACTACAGTAATACCCTTCCCATACTGTATGCATGTTAAGCAGTCTTGACTACGGTACTGTTCACAGTGTATTAGACCATACCGTCATCGCCCGGATATAAGACATATATGTCTTATCTCGTACACTAGAAAAAATGCTTGGGTTATCTTATAAATGGGGAGGTTTTGGGTGTCTTATAAGTCTTATAAATGGAGCCATAACCGTTTAGAAGATACCCCCTCGTTATACAATTGCCCCTAATCCTTACACTAGCTTAGCTCGTACACACAAATAGGTGTCTTATAATGAGGCTAGCCTGTTTATAAGAGACACCCGTATAATAGACAACCCCTGTCTACTATTCAACACTGTCTTATATCCGGGTGATGACGATATGATTTTTTTGCAGTTGTTTAGTGCAGATTTGCTGTACTGTTTGCATTACCGTATATGTTTTACTGTTGAATGGTGTTGTGTGATAATAAATTGATGCATGCACAATGCATAAATGATGCTATACAATGCATAATGCATAAATAATGCTATATAATGCGTGTGATATATCATGAATGATGCGCATCTGGCCTCTCGATATCAGGGTAAAACACCCTTATGGCCCTTACTATAAGGGTGGGTTTAGGTGATCACCCTTGTTTTTAAAAGTTGTTTTATGACACACCCTTAGCAGAAAAAGTGTTCATTGTGTTAACACTGATATTTAAGACAGGCCTGGTGTACTCGCCCTGATGACCAAGACTAGTGTCGTGTACTACCCTGACGCGATTTGACGGGGGGGGGGGGGGGGGGGGGGGGTACTGACGCGATTTGGGCCGTGATTAGCGGCGTTTTGCCTGAGTCAGCAGATGTGCGCGGCGCCACTGCCACTGACCCGTCAACTGAACCTGGCTCACATGCAATTTCCCCACCTGGCAATGCCGCGCAGCGCCACACACACCTGCTTCGTGCAGGATGTGTGTCCTGCTTGGAAGCATCTTCTTCCCTCCCCAGCAGGCCCCCACCCACCGACCAGTCTCTCCCACGCACCCAACCCAGTCTCTCCTCGTTTCACTTCTCCTGTACTGCCTCCTCGCTATCTCGTCCGGTCGAGGGTTTGCAAACCACCCCACCACCACGCTCTCACACAGCTAGTGTAGGCCCAGCTCCTGCATCCATCCCTCTTGCCCTCGCCATGGTTGCTGACGAAACCACCGATGGTGACGACGAGGCACGTCGTCACCAGCAAAAATCACTCCCGCGTACGGGCCTCAGCTTTCTACAAATCCCCGCTAAGAAGCTGTTAGATCCGGAGCCCGTAGTTGCTTCAACAGAGGATGAAGCCCACGTGGATGAAGCGGGGCGAGACTTGCGGTCACCCGAAGTTTGCACTACCACGACGGAACCTGAACCTCCAGAAGCGACGGCTCCAGAAACAGAGATTGGCGATGCGGCTGGCGACTCTGCGAACAAGAAGCGCAAAGAGTCAAGCAGTGGCGGTGGCAAGCCGTGGTGGCGACAACCGAAGCCCTCTTCGAAGCGGTCGGCCCATCCAATCCGACGAGTGGAGGACGCGGGGAGTGACGACGACGAGGATGACGATGGCCTGCCGACTGTCGAAGAGATGGCCCGTTACCCCGAAATCGCTTTCGCTAAAGCGCATAAGCGATTCAAGACGTCGTGGGAGTCTTTGTTTCCGTGGCTAATTTTAACTCGTGATGACGTTGGTTTCCCCATTTTGAGATGCAGCACGTGCTTGGAACATGGAGCTGAAGGCGCGAAAACGGCCTATGGCAAGGGAGGCAATGGAGGGCGTGACATGCAGAAGGGGAGCATCCGGACGCACCAACGGTCCACCGCACACCAGGACGCACACGCCGAGATGAAGTCGAAGTTGAGCCGGAAGCTTCGTCAAACGATGCTGAGCGAGTTCGAGGGCTTGGATCGCAGCACGCATCACATCATCACAGCTCTCAAGACCACCGTGTTCATCTGCAAGTCGGAGGCGCCAGTCACCTCGTACGTGGGCACGATCAAGTTCATGGCCGAGCTCGGAGTCCCGAACCTTCCCTTGGATTCCAAGGGAAACTACTTCTCGGAGTAAGTTTCGGGGAACGCGCTGTCGTTGTACTTGTTCCGTTAGAACTGACTTGTTCCGTGCTAACCACTGTGCTTGTATCATGCAGGTACGGTTTCGGGGAGCTACTAGATGCTGCCGCGAAATACATGCGGCAAGAGCAACTGAAGCAGCTCGAGGCGAGCCCGTACATCTCCATTCAGCTCGATGAAAGTACTGACAAGGCGCGCGGCAAGCATATGATCGTCTACGTCCACTTCATGAGGGAGGGAGCGAGCGTCTGTGAGTTCCTCACGCTGCTGACAGTTGAAAAAGGTGACGCGGCTAGTCTCGTCGACGTGCTACTGACCCACCTTGACGCCGTGGGCATTGACATGTCCAAGATCGTTGGAATCAGCACCGACGGCGCCAGAGTCATGACGGGCACCAGCAATGGTGTTGTAGCGCGACTCCGCCTGCGGAATCCCTATCTCGTGTCGTGCCACTGCATCGCACATCGGTAAGTCCGTATATGTTAATGGCTTCATGACATGTGTGTAGTGTTGATCATGTACTGCCCACTCACATCATTCGCTCGTTTTCCTGTTCTGCCTTGAGCAGGGAGGCGTTGGCCGCGAAAGATGCTGCTGAGAAGGTGACGGAGTTCAACATCATAGACCAGGCGGTGCGGAACATGGCGGAGCAGCTTTCTAGGTCGAGCAACTGGCACCGACGATTCGAGCACCTTCAGGAGTACATCTGCGAAACCAACTTGGAGCTGCAGGGGATCAACGACGTGCGGTGGCTCTCTAAAGGAGAGGCAGTCAAGCGGTTCGCCAAGGTTCTGCCGGCGACGATCGTCCTGCTAAACGATTTCAAGCACGCGCTCTATGAAACGGTCACCTCCTTCAAATTCCACTTCATGCTTTTCTTCCTTGCAGACATTCTTGCCGTGCTCAACGAGCTCAACGCCAAGTTCCAGAAGCAGCAGGTGATATGTGGAGTGTTTTGCTTGTCCTCGTTTGCGGTTGTTTCACTACCATGTTCCCGGTTGTTGTAAGTGGAGATTGTTGTACATCAACCTCTGGCAGCAACTATTCATCCCACCCCCACTCCCAGGTTGACATCACGGTGGTCGCGGGGGAGGTGTCGCTCGCTTGCAGGACGATCGAGGTGCGTTACGTGGACTGCGAGGATCGTTTCGGCAACGATCAGTCGCCCCTGCTCTGCGCGTTCCTGAAGAAGCACGGCAACCCGGAGCACCGCGAAGTCACCGTCAACGGTGTGGACCAGAACGGAGACGCTGCAGAGCACAAGTTCTTTGCTTCACGAGCGCAAGATCCCAGGCCATACGACTGGCGGGGACTACTACTCCTGCAAGGCGGTGTGCCAGGAGTTTGCGAGGGTCTGCGTTGCCCGACTGGAGTTCCGCCTGGAAGACCTCAAGGACCTGGCCGGCTCCAAGCTTTTCCGGCCGTCATGCTATCCCGACGACAACGAGGAGCGGATGAAGAAGTGCCGCGAGTGGTTGCGCATGCTTGACCGCATGTTTCGCCACCGCCTCTTTGGTACGCCGCCTGGTTGTGCCTGCAATTTGCTGTCTGCTCTGTGTGTGTGGTTACCTTGGTGTGATGTTAAACACCACACCTCCCATACGCCCCGATCGCCCCTCTCACTGCTCTGCTCTCCCATCCTGGCAGGTGTGTGCTTCAAGGCGTGCGAGAGGGAGCTACCGTTGTTTCTCCACACCATGGACACCAACCACGGCAACATGAGCTTCCATAAGTCGCTCGCGCTCATGCTCCAGTCAACTGACTGACGGGGAGCCTACCCGAACCTTGTGCAGCTGTGGCAGGCCGTAGCTGTGCTTCCCCTCAGCACGGTGGAGTGCGAGCGCGGCTTCAGTCGCCAGAACCGTATCAAGACGTGGAAGCGGACCTGCCTGGGAGACGCCCGACTGGGCGATCTGATGACTGCAGCTCTCCTGCCCAGCGATGGTCTGAACTGGGTGAATGTGGTAGACGTGTTCAATGCCAGAAAGAAGCGCCGTCCGGGCCAGGAGTTTCTGTATTGAGTTGGTGTGGTATTCTGCTCCACCATGTAGTCGTGCTGCTGTTATTGTTCTAGTTGTAGGCTTGTAGATGTAGTTCTTTGTTACAACAATACATGATGGTAAGTAAACATATAATGGTACAAGTAATCGAGGTGCACAGCACACTGACGAGCAAGAGTAACACTGCAGCCAACACTGATAAACAAGACTGAGGTGGATGCCCCACCCTTACTGAAAGACCAGCTTTGGCAAACTGCCCTTTCGACCAAGAGTGCTTCCAAACCTATCCAGAGGCCAGATGCGCATGCACATGGTAAAATGCGTGACAGTTAAAAACCCAAAAACTAAGCTACCGCCATCCCCTGCCTAGCATGGGGGGGAGGTAAATAGCTTAGCTTTTGAATAATCAACTACCACATGAAACAACACAATCTGTGAAATCTAAAAAGAAAGTCATCTCTATCAAATCCAGTTCGAAGTGGTCGCACACGAGTCACTGAGTGCGCCAATGAACCTTTTGTGAAATGATAGATTTGAGATTTCTTTTTAAAGATCAAAGACGTGCGTTGTTATTGCAATGGATACGGATGAATGCACACAGCCACAGCACAGACACACACAAAGGCACACACACACATACAAACACATATACAAGTCTCAGAACTTAGGCAAGGCAAAAGTGGTTGAGTTTAAGTGGGCCTAGGCTTAGTAGCCTAGGCCCAAGGCAATCGAGGTAGATTGTGCCAAGGAGGGAGTCGAGAATGAGAGAAGGATGATGTGTTCACTATAGCACTAGGGTACATATAGCAAACAAAGTGGTGCACCACCTATAAAGTTAATATCTACACTACAGCTAGAACTGCATGCAGGTATAAGAATATAATTCTGACATCCCCCCGTAACTGCATGCAGGAATAGCTAAGTGCAGAACACAACCTCCATGGGTACACCACAGACAGAGAAAATAGCAGGCAAGGCACAGCAGCAAAAGGGGCAGGCACTCCTGCCATCCCTTCACTCTCCTCCTCCCCCCGCCCACCTCAGAGGGACCACACCCTCCCCCCCAGCGGCAGCTGCAGCAGTGGGAACGAAAGGAGGAGGAGGGGAAGGGAAACACACCACCCATCACCCCCATACCCGTCACCTCCATACCCTCCCCCCCACGGCTGCACGCGCAGCAGGGAGACGAACGAGGAGGAGAGGGGGGGGGGGGGGGGGTCCGCGGCGGCTCAGCACACCGTCGCGGGCACCAGGGGCGGGTCCGCGGCGGCTCAGCACACCGTCGCGGGCGCCAGGGGCGGGTCCGCGGCGGCTCAGCACACCGTCGCGGGCGCCAGGGGCGGGTCCGCGGCGGCTCAGCACACCGTCGCGGGCGCCAGGGGCGGGTCCGCGGCGGCTCAACACAACCGTCGCGGGCGCCAGGGGCGGGTCCGCGGCGGCTCAGCACACCGTCGCGGGCGCCAGAGGCGGGTCCGCGGCGGCTCAGCACACCGTCGCGGGCGCCAGGGGCGGGTCCGCGGCGGCTCAGCACACCGTCGCGGGCGCCAGAGGCGGGTCCGCGGCGGCTCAGACAAAACGTCACGCACCACCCGGGCGCGGGACAGAACGAAAATCGCAACGCGCCCGAGGCGCGCGACCGGAAAAACAGCAGCGGAAGTGAGTGGCTGGCCCACAGGCCAGGACTTAACAGGCTCTGATACCATCTCAGAACTTAGGCAAGGGAAAAGTGGTTGAGTTTAAGTGGGCCTAGGCTTAGTAGCCTAGGCCCAAGGCAATCGAGGTAGATTGTGCCAAGGAGGGAGTCGAGAATGAGAGAAGGATGATGTGTTCACTATAGCACTAGGGTACATATAGCAAACAAAGTGGTGCACCACCTATAAAGTTAATATCTACACTACAGCTAGAACTGCATGCAGGTATAAGAATATAATTCTGACAACAAGATCACACACATTCACACAAACGGAAAAAAAAAAACGTACCGTATCGCCCCAGATATAGGCGCCGTCCGATTAAGGGCGCCGGCGCTTATATCTGGAGCATGGCGCTTATGGCCGGAACTCGATTATAAGCGCCCCCCTTGTGAAACCCTGATTTATTTTAAGCGCATCCGTAATTATATTTTTCAATCCTGATTAAAACGGTAACGAGTTTCATATTTCAAGCGAGTCAGCACCCATTTTCACTTTGTTTGACTTTCGCGGTCTTGACTGGTTTCGCGTCCAGTCAGGATGAGGTGGCACGCTGGCAAATTGACGTGTCAAAATCTCTGTGCAGCGTCAGAGAATCGCCCTCACGCGATTCAGATTCTGGACGCTTTAAAATATCGACTCGATTGAACTACCGAGACTGAAATGTGTACATTTTGATGCGTTTAAGTTGTATTTCTGTATATGTCATTATATAAGTGCCGGCGCTTATGGCCGTGACTCAATTACAAGCGCCCCCCCCTAAAAAAACCGGTTTTATTATAAGCGCACATGCGCCTATATCCGGGGTTATACGGTAAATGCAAAAAACTCTAAAAACAACAAAACATGCAATACAAAACAATCCTACAGATTACCACTACTATCCACTTCACAAGTAATCTTGGCAGATGTACACATCTGGAACGAAAGCCAGAAGGAAATCTGGAAAAACAAATAGGCACCGAATGAAGGAGAGGGAAAGAAGGAAGAGGGGAGAGAAGAAAAGAATTATCAAAATGTGGAGAAAATTGAAAAGAAAGTAAGTCAAATGAGGAGAATATTATAATAACCAAACAGAATGCAATCTAATGGTGGTAAGGTAAAAAAATGATGAACAACGCTATACGTTAAAAAACAGAACGCAAAAAACAGAGCAAGTAACAAAACAGGAAACAACGATATACCTTAGCTGTGAATTTCACAGAGAGAGAACGAGAGAGAGAGAGAGAGAGAGAGAGAGAGAGAGAGAGAGAGAGAGAGAGAGAGAGAGAGAGAGAGAGAGAGAGAGAGAGAGAGAGAGAGAGAGAAGAGAGAACGAGAGAAAAGAAAACGAGAGAGAAAGAGAGAACGAGAGAGAGAGAAAGAGAGAGAAAGAAAACGAGAGAGAAAGAGAACGAGAGAGAGACGAGAGAAAGAGAGAGAGACAACAAGAGAGAACACGAGAGAGAGAGAGAACGAGAGAGAGAGAGAGAGAGAGAGAACGAGAGAGAGAGAACGAGAGAAAGAACGACGAAAGAGAGAGAGAGAGAGGGAGAGAGAGAGAGAGAGAGAGAGAGAGAGAGAGAGAGAGAGAGAGAGAGAGAGAGAGAGAGATAGAGAGAGAGAGAGAGAGAGAGAGAACGACGATGTAGAAAATAGAGTATGCACGAAAACTACGACGAGTAAAAACGGAAGAGAAAGGAATAAGGAAAACGGCTACGTTACTGAGCAATGAGGTGGAAATCAAAGTTGAGAAAACGAAATAACGACCAGAAAAACAAAAGTGTCATAGCTGGAAAACGAAATTGAAGGGAACTGTCAAACATTGTATGTTTATATTGTGTAGGCTGTAGTGGGTTACACCTTAGGGGGTACACAAAGTTAGGGTTTCCTACTTGTACCAAACTCTGTGCTAGTTCATTTCATTCCTGCTCAGTTATTCTGACATGGTTTCAGAGCAGGTCCTTCACTAGGACTGTTCTTAGGGCCCACCGTACGATACCTACCTACCTACCTACCTACCGGAGCGCGTTCTTAGCGTCTCCCCCGTAGCGCCCTCGCGAGCGTTACCTTTTTTTTTCCGGCCCCGCTGGCCCCGTCGATTGCGATCGCACCTACCGGCCCCGTTGGCCCTCTAGCGAACCGCCCGCGAACCGCCCGCGAACCGCCCGCGCGGCCTGCGCGCCGCCCGCGAACCGCCCGCGAACCGCCCGCGCGGCCTGCGCGCCGCCCGCGAACCGCCCGCGAACCGCCCGCGAACCGCCCGCGAACCGCCCGCGAACCGCCCGCGCGGCCTGCACGCCGCCCGCGAACCGCCCGCTACCCGCTGCCGGCCCGCCGCTGCCGCTCGTGCGCACCCGCAGCCGCCGCCGCACGCACCCGCTGCCGGCCCGCCGCTGCCGCCCGTGCGCACCCGCAGCCGCCGCCGCACGCCCTCGCCTGTCGGCCCGCCGCTGCCGCCCGTGCGCACCCGCAGCTGCCGCCGCACGCCCTCGCCTGCCGGCCCGCCGCTGCCGCTCGTGCGCACCCGCAGCCGCCGCCGCACGCACCCGCTACCGGCCCGCCGCTGCCGCCCGTGCGCACCCGCAGCTGCCGCCGCACGCCCTCGCCTGCCGGCCCGCCGCTGCCGCCCGTGCGCACCCGCAGCCGCCGCCGCACGCCCTCGCTGCCGGCCCGCCGCTACTGACTGTCCGCACCTGCAGCCGCCACCGCACGCCGCTACTGCCGGCCTACCACCGCAGCCCGTGCGCCCCTGCGACTCCTGCTAGTGCGTCTTTACAGCTACTGCGGCCCTACTCTGTCTACTACTGCTGCTACTGCTACTATCGCTATGGCTAGCCCTCCCGTTCTAGCTTTCGACGCCGAGGGCCGTCCAGTGAAGTTCGAAACCTGGCTCGATGACCTGCACCTGTTCCTACAGCTCACGGCCAAGGAGGATATTTCTCTGTACGACCATGCTCTCGGCCACGCTACTGCCCCTCTTACTACTGCTCCCCCCACTGAGCGCTCACAGTGGCAGACCCGTGACGCGCACGCTCGCTTCGCCATACGCAACTCCCTGCCGCTAGATGAGCGCGAGCACTTCGGCCAGTGCAAGACTGCTAAGGAACTGTACACCGCTGTCGTTGCCCGCTACTCCTCACCCGCTTCTGCCACGCTAGGCCGCCTCACTCTCCCCTACCTGTTCCCCGACCTGGCCTCCTTTCACACTGTCGCAGACCTCATCACCCACCTTAAGACTAGTGAGGCCCGCTTTCGCGCTGCCATGCCTGACGAGTTCCTCGCTAGCAACCCCCCCCCGCTCTGGATCACTCTCTACCACATCGTCACTCGCCTCCCTGACTCTCTGCGCGCAGTCAGGGACCACTTCCTCTCTCGCTCCCCCACCGAGCTCACCGTAGCCCTCCTCGAGAAGGAACTGCTTGCAGCTGAGGCCAGTATCGTCGCTGTAGGCACCTCTCGTGGCGACCCTCGCGGCCCCTTCTTTGAGGGGTGTTCCCCTTCCCCCCTCCTCCCCTCTGTCGCCTCTGCTGCTGCTGTCGACCTCCTTGGTGCTGAGAAGGTCGGGACTGCGTCTGCTTCGGGCGGGCGCCGCAGGAGCAAGGGGGGCAGGGGTGGGGGTGGTGGCGGAGGAGGCGGGGGTGGAGGTGGTGGCGGTGGAGGCGCGACTGGGGAGGCTAGTGGCGGCAGTGGGGGAGGTGACAGCAGCGGTGGGAGTGGTGGCAGGGGCGGAGGCGGCGGCGGAGGCGGAGGTGGTCGTGGCAGCGGCAGGGGTGGAGGTGGCCGGGGCGGAGGCGGAGGAGGTGGTGGTCGTGGAGGCACGGGCGGAGGCCAGAGTCAGCAGCCTGCCCCGACGCTTCAGGCCGCCCGTGAGTGGTATGCGCAGCGCGGCTTTACCTGCACGTACGTTATTCGCACAGGCGACCGCACTGGCCAGACGTGTGGGAGGGCGCACCAGACGCAGCGCTGCTTCGCGCGCCTCAACGACGCGTGGCGCACCCAGTTTCCTGACGCCACTGAGCTGCCGCGCTGGGCTGATCTGGAAAAGAGGGGTGTTGATATCTGGGCTCTAGACTTTGATGCTATTCTCACTGCCATGTATGCAATGTCTATTAGTGGAGAGGGTGCTCAGTACTTGCGTGTTCCGCCCGACCCGGGCATTCAGGCCAGCCCAGCTGCTGCTCTAGGTGCTAGTGTGTCTGCTCCCACAGGTCCTGCTGCAGCAGCTGCCCTAGGTGCTAGTGCGTCTGTGCCCCCTGGTACTGAGTCGACTGCAGCACTGCACACCTTCACACTGGACTCAGGTGCTTCTCGCTCTTTCTTTCGTGACCGCACTGTCCTTGAGCCACTAGCTCGGCCGGTTGCTGTCTCTCTTGCTGACCCCTCAGGGGGTCCGGTCATTGCGACCTCCTCCACTACACTTCCGTGTCCAGCGGTTCCGTCCGGCACGCTCTCAGGTCTCTACCTCCCCTCGTTCTCTACGAACTTGGTGGCGGGCTGTGCTCTGCAGGACGGGGGTGTTCACCAGTTCACCCCTGCCTACGAGCGTGTGACACATTGCACGTGTGCTCGGACGGGCCGCCACCTGGCTACTTTCACTCGGGAGCCGGGGTCGGACCTGTACACACTGACCACTGAGTCCCCTCAGGTAGCTGCGTCTGCGTCTGCGTCTGCGTCAGGTCAGCTGTCCGCCCCCTGCTCATGTCGCTCTCTGGCGCATGAGACTGTCCTCTGGCACCACCGCCTTGGTCACCCGTCTGTGCAGCGCCTTCGGGCCATGCACAAACGGGACCTTGTTGCTGGTCTTCCCAGGGTGCTCCCTCCCCTTCCCGACTCCCCTGCTCCTGACTGCATTCCCTGTGTTGAGGGGCGGCAGCGCGCCGCTCCTCACTCCTCCTCCTTTCCCCCGACGACTGCTCCCTTGCAGACGCTCCACATGGACGTGTGGGGCCCAGCCCGCGTCCGTGGTCAGGGTCAGGAGAGGTACTTCCTGATAGTTGTTGACGACTACTCGCGCTACACCACGGTCTTCCCCTTGCGCGCCAAGGGTGACGTCCCTGGTGTTTTGATCCCCTGGATCAGCCGAGCCCGTCTCCAGCTAGGCAAGCGCTTTCACTCGGACTTTCCTGTCCTGCGCTTGCACTCTGACAGAGGTGGTGAGTTCGCCTCCGACCTCTTGGCAGCCTACTGTGCTGAGCACGGTATTGAGCAGTCGTTCACGCTTCCGGCCTCTCCACAGCAGAATGGGGTCGCTGAGCGCCGCATTGGCTTGGTCATGGAGGTCGCTCGTACCTCCCTGACCCATGCGGCTGCTCCCCACTTTCTGTGGCCGTTTGCGGTCCGGTACGCAGCGCATCAGCTCAACCTCTGGCCCCGTGTCTCCTTGCCGGAGACTTCCCCGACTCTACGGTGGACGGGAGAGGTTGGCGATGCGTCGCGTTTCTGGGTCTGGGGATCTCGAGCTTTTGTCCGCGACACGTCCGCGGACAAGCTCTCGCGTCGCGCTGTTCCCTGTGTCTTTCTTGGCTTTGTTCCCGACGCGCCTGGATGGCAGTTTTACCACGTCACCTCGCGCCGGGTTCTGGCCTCTCAGGACGTCACTTTTGACGAGTCCGTCCCCTTCTACCGCCTCTTCCCCTACCGCACTGCCCCGCTCCCCCCCCCGCCTCTCTTCCTCGCTCCAGGTGCTGAGGTACCAGACCCCCTCCCCCCTCAGGGTGCCGCTCCCTCAGGTGTGTCCCAGGTAGACCCGGGTGAGCCTGTCGAGGTAGCTGTTGACTCGCGTCCTGAGTCTGGGGGTGCTGAGCCTGGGAGTGCTGCGTCTGAGGGTGCGGAGCCTGGGGGTGCTGAGCCTGAGGGTGCGGAGCCTGGGGGTGCTGAGCCTGGAGGTGCGGAGCCTGGAGGTGCGGAGCCTGGAGGTACTGAGCCTGGGGGTGCTGAGTCTGGACGTGCTGAGTCTGGGGGTGCTGAGTCTGGGGGTGCTGAGTCTGGGGGTGCTGAGCCTGAGCGTGCTCCACCTGGAGGAGCCCTCTCCTCCCAGCAGCTGCAGGAGAGGTACCTCGAGTACTGCCGCCTCCGGAGAGGTGCTTGTGGAGCTCGTCCCGGTACTTCCCCTCCTACCCAGGAGCTCCCCCCCATTCAGGTGATCCGCGAGTGGTACACGCGGCGCTGCAGTCTTCGTAGTGGTGCTCCTGGTGCTGCGGACCCGAGCGGTGGTGCTGTTGCTGGTGCTGAGGACCCGGGCGTTGGAGCTGCTGCTGGTGCTGAGGACCCGACCGGTGGCGCTGCTGCTGGTGCTGAGGACCTGACCGGTGGCCCTGCTGCTGGTGCTGAGGACCCGGGCGTTGGAGCTGCTGCTGGTGCTGAGGACCCGACCGGTGGCGCTGCTGCTGGTGCTGAGGACTCGGGCGTTGGAGCTCCTACTGGTGCTGAGGACCCGGGCGTTGGAGCTGCTGCTGGTGCTGAGGACTCGGGCGTTGGGGCTGCCACTGGTGTCCCTGCTGCTTCTGGAGACGCTGTGCGGCCGCGACCGTACTTCGTACCGCTCCTTCAGCAGGTTCTTGGTCAGGCTCCTCCTCCTAGTCCTCCTCCCTCCGTCGAGTGTCCTCTGCCTGTCCAGCCGCAGTCACAGTTACCGCCTGCCTCGCCTCTCCCTGCTCCCTCTCCTTACGCTGGTCCCACAGGAGGTCTTACAGAGCGTCGTGAGCCTGAGTCTCGTCCTGCGTCGCCTGTTCG